TTTGTGTTATATCACCATTTTCTTCTGTACAGTTACGCCTAGAAATGTTTGTGTTTTTGCAATATCTTCTAGCTCCTCTCCTGTCAAAAGTCGTTAGGTAGGTTGTGCGTTGCTTTCTTCTGTCCTACTTACCCTATTCTGGGAGTGTCAAATTTTCCTAGCCCTCTTTTCTCATTATCTACCTTAGAAATTTCATTTCTCTTTTTGATTCTACATATAAGTGTACATTTCTTTTCCATTTTCTCTAAAACTTCATCGTTGCTTACGTGTTCGGTCCATGTTATTCTCATCACTCTTTTGCAGAGGAACATTCCTCTAACTTCAAGTTTCTTCTCCATCTGTGATGAGGCGGCCCATCATTCACTGCCATATAGGAGGACTGATATTACATAACAGTTTAGTACTCGTTTTCGTTGTTTTTTTACGAAATTTTCTTGTTTTTTAATACTTTACTTAGCTTTTGGAAGGCATCTTTCTCTATCCCAATTCGCCTTCGGATTTCGGTTTCGTATTTTCCGTCCTCAGTTTAAACGCTTCCTAGATATTTGAATTTTGGCACTTGCATAATTATGGTATCCGTAATTTGTACTTCGCATCTTGGACAGTTACGTTTGTGACAGCCATAATTACTGTCTTCTTACAGTTGATGCTTCGTCCTTTCTTCTCTCTTTCCTTTACTGCCTTCTGATGAAGTTCCTGTAGTTTCCTTTCTGCGTGTGCCATCAAAAAGGTGGTATCTGCATATGTGAAGATTCTGGCCTCCAATAATAAATCCTGGCAGGACTTCTAATTCTGACAGGATTGATTTACTGTAAAGGATGAATAAGTCCCATAAGAAAACACACTCTTGTCTTACACCTCATTTTTGCGTATTTGCTGAATTCATTTTCAATCTCCGTGCAAGTGGTTTGCTCCTAGTACAAATTCTGTATTATTCTATTCATTTTTATTTCTTTAAAATTCTAAGGAATCAATGTTAAAATAAGAGGTTTCATGACATGAGGTTTTGAAGTTCCACAGAGTTTGTGATTTGAAGAACTCAAATCAATTGAAGTTCCACAGAGTTCGTGATTTGAAGAACTCAATTTTGGCCTGAATGGGAATTTCCGCCTAAATCGGAATTTCGGCCCAAATCTGTCTTCTTGCTGGAATTGGACTTATAGCCGGAATCAGAGTCAATATGAGGTTTTGAAATCTCATGGAGTGAATTGAAGAATTGAAAGTTATTTCTTCAAAATTATTATTGTTGTTTTCCAATCTGGACCAGAGATCCCTGTAGTTCAGGATTGGAGTGACAATAAGCTCTCCACATGAGCTAGCTTAAAAGTCCGCGCGGGGTGCAGCTTTTAAGCTAGTTTGCCATAAAGAGATAGGTATGACAACTAATTTGTTTACTCATAGATTTATAAAAATATGTTTGTAAACAAGAAAACAAAAAAAGTTAATAAACGCAGCTTCGAGTAACTAATTATGAATTTTGAAAAAAATGTTCTAGGCATTTTCTCTGGCCACGTAAATTCGCTAAAATAGTTTGCAAGTATTTGGGTTTATAATGTTTTTGTTTTCTCGAGAATTAACAACAAAAATGTTAAACACTATTTATTTATTAGACAGTTTAATTACAAGAATAGTGCTTAATATTTTTCTTGTTAATTCCCAAGAAAAAAAGAGAATGCAGTAATCCAGTTTCATCAGAGGTTTAGGATTTATCAAAATTCTAAAACAGCCCCCCCTTTTTTTAACACAAAAGTGGGAGGCAGGGTGGAGTAATAGATAGCGGATCGGATTAAGGAATTGAAGAGCCGAGTTCGAATTCCAGTCGAATCACTTACATGCTAATACCCTTGGGAAAGGTATGAATTCTCTTCTACACCGCCCCCCCAATCTATGGGTAAGTAGACCGGATTAGCCTTGGTTAACCTCTCTACTGCTGGAAAAATCTGCTAATACCTTTGCGAAAGGTATGAATCCTCTTTTTCTTCCCCCCTCCCCAGCTCGGATGGCAATTGGTCTCTCGCAGAAAGAAATGGCAACTGGCTGCGGGAAAAAAATCTGCCACGTCAGTCATGTATCGAAAAAATACATGATCGCCTATGTGTATGGCACATAACTGACTGAAATAATTGCGGTGTCGAGGGAAAAAGTTCTTTCGACACACCTTTTTTCTTTTTTGCAGTACGAATGTTAGACATTGTCGTTAAGTCAATGTACTCGAAACAAATAAAAATTGTTTTACGATTTATCTGCGCAAGAAACTCTCCATACTTTATCTAAAAAAAAAAATATCATAGAAATCCAAAGAATAAACTTGCATTGTTTTATAGATAAAATTATGGTAAATAAGACTGAGTGAATTTATTGATATCGACATTTTTTCGCACGAAAACACCAAACATAATTTTACGACCGCTGGCTCGAGCAAAGCAAAGGGCGATAACTCACATTCCATTATCTTAACTCTCCTTTGGGGAATCTTATCTCCGGCTGTTTCTCTTCAGCTCTTTGAAAGCGATTCATTCTAGTTCTAAAATAAGTAAATATTATCTTATAAGCGAAACCATTTACTGCGATAGTCTCCAGACAAAGTTATTTTACTGGGTAAGTGCCCTTCAAACCTAATTAATATAAACATATACTTTTGATTCATAGCTATCATGACTATTTATATAGGCATCGATATATAGATATTTATATAGGCATAGATATATAGACAGACTAAAAGAGATTGTCGCAGTAGTATAGATGTTAATCTCTCTGACCATATTATCAATATAGTGAAGTTGATCCTCACTGTGTGTCCAGTTATATCTTAGTTTAACACAAAATTGTAAGTGCGGAGCATGTAATGAAAATCAAATTTATTTGATTTGTAAATCTTCAACACTAGCTCTTTTTTTTTTAATCATTTCACTCCAAATAAGGCGATAATGCCACTAAGACGCAAGGGGGGAGTGGAAAAGAATGTGAAGTCAGGAGAAAGGACAATAAAAGAACAGCTTTCAGGAAGACAGATGATGTCAATTGACGATGCATTTAATTTTTTGAAGATTGTAGACGGCAGGGTAACGAGAAAATGGAAGAAAGTTTCACAGATGAGAAAAGAAAATATTAGAATAGAACTTGGGTTATATCTCGTTATTTCAACGGTAAAACAATGAGACCTAATTGCCAATCTAGTAGTGCACTTAAATTCATGCGGTCGATATACCAAGGAGGAGTTCTTATAAGAACAATTACCATGAAAATATTTATAGAAGGATAGAGGGAAGCCATGTCATCGCGGTTGGAAAGTGGCTGAAGTTGAGATGCCAGGTCAAGGCCGATAACATCACAGACCCCTCTTTGGATTTTGTTGCGAATCTTGAGATGTACAGCCGGCGCACTAGACCAGATATGAGAGCAATATTCAATACACGGACGAAAAGTAGATTTATAAATATGTAAGATGGAGTCTGAAGACAAGACAAAAATTGTCTGGCACGACACAGTGTAACAAACATTCTCACCAACATACCGAGTAATTGATTCAATATAGTCGCTCTATTTCATGTCAGTAGAAAACTTGAGGTCAGTAAGTTGCTATCATGGAGGTTAGCATCAGCTACGCAAAAATGGTTCTTTATGATGATTAAAAGAAAACAATTTCGTTTTGGAGACGTTAATATTTACAAGCCATTTCTTGCCCCAGCTAACAACTGATTGGAGGTCATTTTCGAGAGCAGCTGTCAGTTCTACTCTTTCTAATTATTTCTTTAGAGAAAAGCTTCATCTTGTGTAATTTATCAAACATCCCTCACACATACATATGGTAGAATATGATATATAAACGCTATATATCAAACTATTGGTGGGTAATTGAATGAAAAAATAGAAAAATCCTACATTACGCGTTTCATCCTTCGAAATCTACAACAATTACAATGTGGGAATTTGTGAAAAAAAGCGATAAAAATAAACAAAATCAGTCCGGAATTGAACAAGTTCGTCCAAGTTGTGTATCTAGACCAGACTGGGGTGCGTATCGACCTGGGTGGAGGCATGTAACATTACTGGAGGTCCACACAAAAAATAGCACATTGGGAGTCCACAGTAATATTTTTGTAGTCCATAGAGCAATTTCTCTTCGGAACGGTTGTTAGCAGTGATTATTAGAATTTCTACAGTAATCTAGACCATATTAAAATACTAACACTAGAAAAAACAACTCTAAAACTAGCATAAAACGAGATCAAGCAATATAAGTTAGCGCTCCTTTTACCCTAAAACCATAGTATCCATAATATATGTTATTCATAAAAGCTATTAAAAGCTTTTCCAATTAAATAATGCCTTAGTGTTAATGCATTTTTATTTTACGATTCAGAGTAGATTTTCGGTTGCTTTAGAAAAAACTGACAATTAAAATTCTCCAAGGATTTCTGCTTTAAACTAATATAAACATTAAGCGTGTCATAATTTAATTTTTCGAAATTTTATAAAATTTAATAAGTGGGGGAGGGGTGTCACATATAAAACATATTTTTACCAAGATTTTCTAAAAAAAAAAAAGCTTCATTAAAATCCGACAGTTATTAGATTTTTGCAAGAATTTCTAAATCAATATGATTTTCATCGCTAAAAAAGATTAAAATGTCCTATACTGATCTTTGCCCCGCCCCTGCTGACGCAAAAAAAAAAAAAAAAAATAACCAAAATTTAGAACGTTCTAAAAAGATAAGAAAATATAATTTAATAATCAAAAGATTCTTTGGTCTTTCCGCCTAATAATAACATAAAGATTTTGACGATAAAACTTTTTTTTTATTAAATTTGGGACAGTTTTCCTGATATTATGCTAATTTTTAGCGAATCAGTTGATATACTTGTCTGTGTATGTATGTGTATATATGTGTGTGCGTATGTGTGGTGTGTGTGTGTATATATATATATATATATATATATATATATATAGTGAGAGATAGAGAAAGTAAGCGAGAAGGAGAAAGGGAATGTGATTGTAATCATTGAAAAGAGAGAGAGAGAGATGAGTGCAAACGAAGGAGATAATATGGAATGAGAGAAATAGAATAAGCTTCATCAAGAACGAGAGAGAGCGAAAGTGAAAGTAGACGCTGATGTAGAAAGCAAATGAGAGAGAGAGAGAGAGAGAGAGAGACACACACACAGAGAGATAGATAGATAGATAGATAGATAGATAGATATAGGGAGAGAGTTTGCTGATAAGGATACAATCACTGCCTTCACTCTCAGAACGCACTGGACTTAAAGCTTATAATTTAGAAAAAAAAACACAATAAATAGAGAATCAGAAAACTAACGATAAGATTGTAAACAGGCCATGAAATAATTATACAGAAAGTACGTTAGGTTTCCTGGTACAAATGTTAAGCGAAACTGCTGCTGAGGCGTCAGGCACAAGGCCATTCGAATTCTGTCTTCTCGTGCAATGATTGGTTAAAGCTTCTTTGTCATAATAATGTGTGGATATGATTTTATGTCTGTTATCTTTTTTCTCACTCAATACAAGGCTTAAGTGCCACTCAAAGTAAAGAGTTACTGATTAACTATGTTTTAGGGTCGTTTAGGAAGGAAGCAAGAGTTACATATTATGAGGATATATAGGATAGATAACGGTTGCTTCGAGAGGTTAAGATTGTAGTGCTCAGGGAAGCATCCCCTCGGGAGTACGTGTTGATCGTAGTCGAGATCATCGAGTCAATGTAAACGACCCTTTCTTGAGATGCATAGTATGTGCTTCGCCAGGGCTCCATACAGTTTTGAACTCAAAGTTTTCCTTTTCCTAGACCGCTTGTCATCCAAGGCTGTAGAACCCAGTCTGTCTTGCTATTTACCAATATCTGGGGGAGAAGAGAACAATTCATTCCTTCTCCAAGGTTATTAGCCCGTAAGTGAATGTAATGACTTTGATTGGAATTCGAACTTGGCTCTCTGATTCTTCAATCCGTGCCGTAATCCATTACTCTAACGTGCATCCTAAATGCAACGATATTTGGGAAGAAGCTTACCCCTTACTATTGGAATATGAAGAGAATGAAGTAGAGTTGACATGGCGGATCCTAGCAGTGAATGTCTGGAGAAACCAAAGAATGTAGTTCTGAACATCTGCCATAAAAATGGCACAGCAGCGATAAGCTAGAGAAGTTCCATCTAAAAAGAAGAGTAGAAAACAGCTCATCACCCACAAGGCCGCGTAAAATCTCTTGAACTCGGTCGAGGTTGTACAGTGAGCATTGGGCAGCTGTAGCCTAGATGTGGCAGCAATAAATTGAGAGAGCGGGAAAGAGACACTTTGTGTTAATATGACTTTACGTTTTACTTTTTGACATTTAACCCATTGAGCCCTGACCACCGCTTTACCGGTGGTTGAGAAAAATGTCGGAATGCCCAGCCACCGGTTGAACGTTGGGTAAACACTTGTAACTATTTTTATATCTACCGTGAAACTTTACATACCAATTATTCCCGTATTTTGACCCAGGAGCTCAGGCAGAAAGATTAAAATTGTCCAGGAACACATGGCTCAAAACGTTAAATAAATGTCCTCATATTTGAGATGAAAAAGATTTCTTTGCATCGGGTGACACAATTCTTATTGACACAGATAATGGAATCAGCGGACCGAGTTCAAATTCTAAATGCATCTGTTGTGTTCACTTTGTGTTCACTTCGAAATAATGTCCTTGGAAAAGGCACGAATTCATCTTTTCTTCCGCTACTATAGGTTAACATGAAGGACGAAATGGACTCTCGAAGCTGAGGTCACAGCTAGCTTTAAGAGCAAGTGTATTTTAAATTCAGGCAAACTTCTGTGCTCACACATAGAGAGATATGAATAAACTGAGATAGATAGATGGATAGATATGAATAAACTTATATATGAAAAAACTGTGATAGATACAAATAAACTGAGATAAATATGAATAAACTGAGAGAAATAGATATGAATAAACTGATATAGATAAATAGATAGACAGATATGAATAAACTGAGAGAAATAGATAGATAGATAGATAGATAGATAGATATACATAAACTGATATAGATAGATATGAACAAACTGAGATAGGTAAATAGAGAAGCAGATATGAATAAACTGAGATAAAAAGATAGATAGATAGATAGATAAATAGATATGAATAAACTGATATAGATAGTTATGAACAAACTAAGATAGATAGATAGATAGATAGATAGATAGATAGATAGATAGATATGAATAAATTGAGATAAATGCATAGATAGATATGAATAAACTGATATAGATAGATAGATAGATAGATAGATAGATAGATAGATAGATAGATAGATATGAGTAAACTCAGATACATATCCAGAAGGCATCAGAGAATCACTTCACTCTCTTTCCTAAAAAGTCATAGTACTTAATAGAAATAAAAGAGATTGAGAAGCTGTGGAGAGTCATGATTGCCTACGTTCCGAATGGATATGGCATTTAAAATAAGATAAAGAAACCAATTAGCTGCTGAACAAATTTACGTCAATTGTAGTTGAACTATGCAACATCAACAACTGTATTCCCGCTACCCGCATTTCTTCTATGTTCTGTATCCCTTCAGGACGTGGGCGATCATGGCTCTCCACAACTTTTTATCCTTTATTGCTCTTAGCAATATTTATATTTGAACTATCCATTCAATCCCGTGTTTCGCCATCCATTTACACAATATTTTTAGGCAGGTTATTCGCTGTTTTCTTTTATACATCCTGTCCACATTAAGTCCTCTGGATGTCAAATTCGCCAAGCCCTCTTCTCTCGCTATGCGACCCTAAAAATTAAGTCTAAGTGTAAGTGTTTTTATTTGTTTCGATTTTCCTTAAAGCTCGCTCATTACTCAATATGACACTTGTGGTGTTCTCAGTATTGTTTTGCAGAACTACATCTCTGCTGCCTAGAACCTCTTCTTCAAGCGTGGGGAAACTATACAGCATTCACTGCCCTATAGGCAGATTGATATTACATAGCAGTTCAGTACTCTTTTCTTTGTTTCTCTTGCTTCAAGTCTCTTCTTCATCTGTGAGGAGATTGTCCAGCATTCACTGTCATATAGACAGATTGATATTACATAGCAGTTCAGTACTCTTTTCTTTGTTTCTCTTGCTTCAAGTCTCTTCATCTTTGAGGAGATTGTCCAGCATTCACTGCCATATAGTCAGATTGATATTACATAGCAGTTCAGTACACTTTTCTTTGTTTCTCTTGCTTCAAGTCTCTTTTTCATCTGTGAGGAGATTGTCCAGCATTCACTGCCATATAGGCAGATTGATATTACTTAACATTGTAGAGCTTTTAGCGAAACACCCGCAGTTAATGGTTTAATAATGGTCTTCCAAAATAGCTTGCTAAGATAAGAGTTACTGTACAGTCGGTCATTTCTGTAGGTATTTATATAAGTTGAAGTCTTACACAGGCCCATGTAGTGAACACTAATAGTCATCGAGATTAATCTATTAAAGAAAGATCTATAGAGTATTGTCGACTTAAGCGTTTGGCTATATATAAATGTGTGACATGAGACTTTGCAATCAGATGAAGACATGAACAATTTTTACCGTCTGGATCACTCGCACTGCGTATCTTAGTTACTTATTTACTTTTATATTTTAAATGAATAGTGGTTCATAGAAGCAAACTCAAGTATTTTATCCTTTTTACTGATGTTCGTGTATTCGTGATATTGAATTCTTATACAAATAAATTCATTAATGACTTTACTTTTCTTGCGCGCACACACATACACATTCCCACGATGCGATGTATAAATTGTCGTCTAATTTACGCAAAAATGAAAATAACACTGACATTTCATTTTAACAGATATATTTACCAAAATTACATAAAAAATATCTTGAAATATTAAAGAGTCAATTTATTCAATAAAAAACGCAATGTCCTTCAACTGTTCTGGACGGTCTCCTTTTGTTGCTCTCTCACTCAACTGTGCCCCACAAAAAATCAAGGGGATTGCAGTCTGAGGGCTTACGTGGCTATATATAAAGAGTGATGTGGCCGCAGAAATTGTCTGACAGCCATGACAGGGTTCTCCTGCTTGTGTAGCATGGTGCAGAGTCCTGTTGCCAGACATAGGGTCTTCCAGCAGCCACTCTATTGACCCTGGGCAGCAGTACCTCCACAATGCGCTTGGTGCAGGCCTCTGAGTTAAGTCTGAGGCCATCACCGACAAATTCAGGAGTTCTTTTCTTATCAGAACGATCAGAATAATTTTTCCGAGATGTATATAAGCACAAATAGTTATAAGGGTTTTCCAAGCGTAGCTTAGATGTGGCACAAGGCCGAAAGTAGGGGGAACCCAGTGAGGATCGAACTCACAACTCAGTCGTAATTGTTTCTTCCACTATCTTCTGGTATCTTTCAAGCAACTTCGTAAATCCGTGGGCACCTCGAAGTGGTGTAATGGTTAGCAAGCTTGTCTCGCTAGATCAATTAAGGTTGAAAAGTGAGTTCGATCCTCACTCGGTCCCCCATACTCTCGTCCTTGTGCCACATCTAAGCTACGCTTAAAAAATAACCATTATTAAAATCTAAAATATTTTCTGGCTTTAAATAACCTGAAGAAGGTTGATAAGCCGTAAAAGATTTCAATCATAAATCCATCCCCCCAGAATATTTCTCCGTATCAAAATGAACTTTTTTGGTTCCATTTGTGATTTTGAGGGATTCTTCTTTTTATAAACATTTTGCGGATTATTTGACTTCGATGGAACTGTTGTTGTTGTTTTTTTTTAATCATTTCACCCCAAGAAAGGCGATAAAGCCACTTGGACGCAAGGTGTTACTGGTAATGAGAGATAATGAAAAGATTTAAATGAATTGAAAGGACAATAAAGGAACAGGTTTGAGGAAGATAGTTTGGTATTATATTTAATTTTTTGAAGATTGTAGGTGACAGAGAAGCAAGGAAGAGAAAGGGACATCGACAGGCGAGAAATGCAAGAAAATAAACTATTAGAAGAAAACAGTAAAACGGTGAGACCTAATTGCCAATCTAGTAGAACGTTTAGATTCATGCAATTAAAGTATCAAGGAAAAAAATTCTGACCAGGACAATTGCCATGAAAATATTTGTAAAAAAGACGGAGAGAAGTCCCATTACATCGGTGAGAAAGTGACTGAAATCGAGATGCCAGGTCAGGATGGATAATATTACAGACCCTTCTTTGAATTTTGTAAGAAGGTTGTGTAAAGAACAAACCTGTTTGCTTTGAAGATCAGTGTTTGAAATCCTGTTTTTTTTTTTTCTTTTTTTTTTTTTTTTAAATATTTGGGACGTTTAACTTAACGAAACATGGAAAAATGAGATTTGTAAGATAGGGCGTTCGGAATCTTGAATTAAAAAAAAAGTCTCCTAAGCTTCTCCTTTGGTGAAATTGAGTATTAATCCGGGCTAAGGAGATTATTTTTTCTCTCAACATTTTAAGCAAGGATTAAGTAAATGCCCTAAAAATCCGTATCTAAAATCTTGGCCTTTTGATATTTATTAGATTAATACAACAATCAGACAAATGTGGAATAGCGTAATGCGATGTTGTAAGATTGTATTTCGTCAATCTATACGAGGAGCTTATCAGCCTTAGAAATGCCGGGTTTAGGATCGAACCCTTATTATAAATGTTGGTAGGGAATTAAACAACAAATTTATCCAAAAAACAATAACAGATAAAAAACGAGGAATTTTTTTTATTAAAGTACTAACTTGCTTATATTAATATCTATGTCTCTTACATATTTATTAGTGTACCATTCGTCCATGCTTTGAATATTGCTGCCACATATAATCCAGTAACCCTGCTATTTACCTTGAGCTTCTCGATAAGACCCAAAGAAGAATAACCAATATTATTGATCCTGATCTAGCGTATTAGCTTCAATCAATTTCCAACTGCCGTAACGTTGCATCCCTGTGGCTTTTCGATAAATACGTTCGCGGTTATTGTTCGGATGAGCGCTTGGCTATGGTGCCTAGGCATTTTGAATTTAAGTACAGTACTAGAAAAAACTGGAAGTAAAAACTAAAAACATCAGAACAAGGGGAAACAAATCCTCAAGTGACTTAAGTCCTTAGTCCCCCCCCCAAAAAAAAATTTCCAGGGTTTGCCTGGCTCGTTAGGATTTATTCTAATATATATATATATATATATATATATATATATATATATATATATATATATATACTGTGTCGTGTGAGACACATTTTCTCTCCAGAATCTATCCTATATACCTACAAATCTACCTTTTGAGCATGCTTAGAATAGGGCTGCAACATATGGCCTGGTATTCCTGCTATTTACCTTGAGCTCTTTGATAAGACCCAAGAAGAATAATCAATATTATTGGTCCTGATAAGGCAGCTGTTGCTTTTCAGTAACTTTTCTTTAAATACTTTCATGGTAATTGTTCGGATGCGCTCTACGCTATTGTACCTAGACATTTTTCAATTTAAGCGCAGTAATAGACTAGCGTCGAGATCTCATCAATTTACAGTTGAACTTGCTAGATGTAACCGTAAGTTCTATGCTAACAGTTTCTTTTCTTACATTTCTCCTTGTTGAACTCCCTTCAGCTTCAATGTTTTCCAGCCAACTTTAATCTACAAAAATTTAAATGTAATGTCAATCACTATCTACTTTGCTCCTGATTACTTTATTTTCTTGCTGCTCATTATTAATATTTCTGTTCCTAATTCTTTCATAAATTGTAACCCTTGTGTTTTAGTTAGTTTCATTGCCTTGCATAAGATGATACTGATTTAAAAAAAATATGGATGAGAAACTATTAAAATATAGAAACAAATACTTACCGCTATAAATGAAAAATGCAAAAACTGTATTTAAAAGAAAAGGAGGAATAATGCAATAAAACTCTGTAAAGGTTTCAAACGGAATGGAGCAAAAAAAAAAAAAAAAACAGATTAGGAAAACGTGGTAATTCTGTAAGAGAATCAAAAAAATATTATGTAATTTGTAGCAATAAAAATAAAATTAAAATAAATAAATTTCTGCCTTTTGCCTTGAGCTCCTTGATAAAATCCTAAGAATAATCAGCAATTTTATTGGTCCTGATCTGTGGCTCGGCTTCTGTCAATTTCCCACCGGCGTAAGGTTGCTTCTCTGTGACTTTCCTTTAAATAATTTCTTGGTAATTGCTCGATTGGGCTATTCGCTATGGTACCTAGACATTTTTCATTTTAAGCACAGTAATATACTGGCATCGAGATCTTATCAATTTACAGTTAAACTGGTTAGATGTAACGCTAAATTCTATGCTAACAGTTTCTTTTCTCACACTTCTCACTTGTTGAACT